TCTCAATTGCACCTGACAACAACAACAACATTTTGAGTTTATATCAAATCTTTAATCGTAAAGTGTGAATTTGTTGAAATATCTGATTCCATCATAATCGGAGTCAGGAATGATACCCGTTTTACTATTAAGAAGACTGACCGTATTGTACTATTTGCAGCAATTTGTTGCACAAAAAGTAGAGGCAGTTCCGTTTTAGAACTTAATGCCCAATCCTCAAGGTGTCTAGTCTAGTGGGAAACTATTCCACCAGATAAACGACTAGTCCTTGACCATCACAGAGCTCAGGCTCAGGGAGGGGGGCATGGACACATCAGACAGCTGCAGAGGAAATGACACTTGAGTCTTGAAGAATGACAAAGAGGAAGAAAACTATTCTAAAAGGAAGAAAATGCATGTGCAAAACAGAGGCAAGTAATTCAGCAATCCAGGTGCTGAAAAGCACAAGCTTAGTCTGCTGTTAGAGGTCAGCTTAGTAGGCCATGCAACGAGAGAGGAGAGCAAGGGCTCGTCCTTGGGAAGTGGTGTGAACTTATTAGGGGACTGAATCACTGAGGCACGATGAGCAAGGGATTGACAAAACTCGTATCTGCCTTGTAGACAGATCCTTCCGGCAGCCGTGTGGTGAGTGGACTGGAGGCTGGGATGATAGGGAGGAGGAAATTTCAGAAACACAGAAGAGAGATCATGAAACAAGGAGCAGCAGTGGGTGCGGTGAGGAGAAGTGCGTGGCTAACTCATGGCCAGTAGAGGATGAATGAGACAGACAGAGTCCAGGATGAGATTCCAGTTTCTCATGGGCATTTCACTGGGCAGACAGGTATTGGTGGCAGCCTTTACCAAGACACACTAAGAGCAAAACATACCAATAAACACATCGATTTCTTTACTGCTTAAAAGAAGATGTCTATAAAATAAACAGATGGAGATAATTTTCTCTCCTGTATGCTTTGGTTAAAAAATAAATTACACAATTAAAAATTCTTAATTCATTAATCAAATTTCTGTTTTCTTTTACAGTTGCAATGCCTAAAGTATAGGAATTGATTGTAAAACTACCCATACAGGATCCAGCTGTTTAAAAATATATTTCTTCGACGTTTTCCCAATTTTGGTGTACCACACTTGTAGTTCTGGTATTTGGCTCTGGGGAAGAAACAGAAAAGATACGATTGAGTGATTCATCAGATCCTCTAAGAACTCTAAAATCTGTAGCAGCAAGAATGGTCTAATAACTCATTTTCCATTTACAAATGGCCCATCTCAAATTTAACAGTTTTGAAAGTTTTTTTGTTTTTGTTGTTAGGTTCCTTGGAGCTGTTTCTGACTCATAGGGACCCTGTATATGGTTTCTGAGTTTGTAAACCTTCAAGGAATTTATAGATAAAGTCTCATCTTTTTCCCACAGAGTGGATGGTGAGCTCAAACCACGGACCTCGTGGATAG